CTTCAGCCCCCCGCTGCCGCCCCCGGGGGCGGGCGCTCCCTGCCTGGGCCCCACGGCTGCGGGTGAGTGGGCTGCTCCTGCCCCCTCCTCCCCGGGGCGGCCGGCAGGCCTGGGGTGGCCGCTCCCGCCCGGTCTGGGGAGCGCGTCCCATGGCCTCCGCGGGGCCGGGCTTCCCAGCCGCACTGCAGGAGCCCCGCTTCCACTCTGCCCCCAGGCTCCGGGCTGGACCTGGCGGGTGCCACCACACCGGACCCCCCTGGCCGGGCCGAGCGCCGCAGTCTCTTGGAGCAGCAGCGGGCCGAGCAGCTGAAGGCTGAGCAGCAGAGCAAGCTGTGGGTGAGCAGGCCTGTGCCGGCCCGGGGCCTCCGAGGTGGCCCCCGCTGGCCCGCCGGGCAGCCCTGGGGACGGGGGCCCCCGGCGCAGGCAGCACCTGTGCCCCTGGCCTCCCCGGCCCGCTCCAAGCGGCACTTCCCATGCTCTCCCCCAGGAGCGCAAGGTGGCGTTGCAGAGAATCGAGGACGACCGGAAGCGCATCAAGGAGAGGATGCAGCAGGCCCAGGCCATGGCCCCCCAGGTGTCGTCCCCGGAGCCTGGCAGGCAGCCCTCCAGCAGCGGAGACTGCCTGCTCGTGGTGAGGGGCCTGTGCTTCCCGGCCAGACGGGGCTGCCGGAGCCGCACGGCTTCCTGCTCCGGAGTGGAGGCAGAGTCCGTCTGGCTGGCTGCAGACAAGTGGGATCGGGGCTCTGGGGGTCGGCCAGGCGGGGGGCGCCTCCGCTCGGCTCTCCCGCTGCTCTGACGTGGAAGGTTTGCCAGCAGGGGGAGCGGCCCGGGCAGCACACAGACATCGCCGTTTTGGGGGAAGGGGGTCGCCTGGGCTCGGCAACGAGGGGCACGCCGAGGTCTGCGCTGACGCGGGAGCAGGAGGAGGGGGTCGTGGGGAGGCATGCAGGGAGAGGCCGGTGGGGTGAGAGGGTGGTCTCTCCACTTCCAGCAGGCAGAGGGCTGTTTGGAAGCCCAGCTGATCTCCGGGGCGTTGGGCCCGTGCGCCGCATTACCTAGTTCGCAATCCTGTGACAAAGGCCGCTGTGCAGAGGGCCAGGCAGGCTGGGACGGGCGTCTTTTCCAAAAGTTTCGTGGCCGTAGCGGGATTGGAATTCAGAACTCCCGGTCCCTCCAGCCTTGTGAAGAAATGGGCCTTCGCAGCCCTGGTGTGGGCTGGAGCTGGGCCGGTGCTTCCTTCAGCCTCGGTCCCCAACTGTGAAATGGGCATTTCTGTGCTCGAGCCACTTCCTGGGAGGGGAAACCGAAACCGTGTCTTCCTGGATGGAAGGCAAGGTCTCCCTGAGCTTTGCTTTTTCTCTCATTTGCTTCCACTGCTGAGGCTAATCAACTGCTCGGCTGGAGGCACCCCAAGCCCCCTGACTCACAAGCTGCCTCTGCTCTCCCCAGATCCGCCTCCCCGCAGGGGACCCCGTGCGCGGGCGCTTCCTGGCCGACTCCTCCCTGGAGAGCGTCCGCCAGCAGCTTCTGTCCTGGCATCCGGAGCTGCCAGCCTCCTCGAACTTCCAGCAGAACTTCCCCAGGCGGCGCTTTGGCCCGGCCGACATGCCGCAAACCTTGCAGGCTCTGGGCCTGACCCCCAGCGCCACCCTCTGCGTGGTGGACCCCGTACCGGAGGCCCCGGGGAAGCCAGAGCCAGGCCCCTCTGCCCAGGCCTCCCCGGAGGAGGGGGTGCGGCCCGGCCTGGCACCGGGCGTGGAGGAAGCAGCCTTCCCGCCCAGGGGGGAGCCACCCCCAGGGCCACATCCCCCCACAGAGGGGGTGGCGCCGGGGGGCCTGTCCGGAACACACAGCCACGCCGAGTCTGCCCCCCCGGTGCCTCACCGCTGGGGTAAGTGCAGCACAGCCGCACACTTGGCCCACGGGGCGCCCCGGCGCCTCTCCCTCGCTTGGCCGTGGGTGCCGGCCCCCGGGGGGAGGCCAGGGGAGGGAGGGAGGGAGGGAGAGACCCTCCGCCTTTGCGCGGCTCCCGCCTGTGCTGCCTGCCGGGGACGGGAGCCCCCCGGTGGGAGAGGAGCACATGCGCCCGGGAGCCTGCCCCGGCGCAGGACCCCAGGAGAGCCTCCGGGAGGAGCAGCCCGGCATGGCCGTGGCACTTGGCAGCCTGGGGCTGCGATTCCGGCGTCTGGCCGGGTGCTGCGGGGGCCTTCCCAGTGCCCGGCTCCAGCAGCCTCTGGAGCCCCCGGCACGGCCTCCTCTTCGCTTCGCTGCCTGTGCTTCCCGGCCGCCCAGCCCCAGCCCTGCTGGTCCCCGGCTCGCCTCCAGGGGGCAGCCCCAGCTTCGCCTGCCCCGGGGAGAGGAGAGGGTGCCCCGGCCCCGGAACGCCTCGCCGCGTCCCTCCGCCCCGTGGGCCCCGTGGGATCCCCGTCTCTGGCTCTCCGCAGGCAGCGGGCGGCGGCTGGAGTCGGGGGTGGCTGCTGAGCCCGAGCCTTTGGGAGCTGCTGCTGTGAGGCTAGAGGCTGCCGGGGGGCAGCACCACGAGCCGGCTGAGCCCGGGCGCCCGGTGGGGAGACCAGGTATGGGGAGGGGAGGGGAGGGGAGGGGGCCCCAGGCTCGGTCGAAGTGGCGGGGCGAGGGGTGCTGGGTGCTGCTGGCCAGGCCACCCGGAGGCTGGGGAGAGGGGCGGGCGGCGAGAAGGGCTGCCCCGGCTGTGGCCCAGAGCGCTGGGCCGTCGGGCCAAGAAGGGGCTCCCGCTTGGGCTGCCGGGCAGGAGGCGTTGTGGCCACGGCCTCTGCAGGCCTCTGGAGCTGCAGCTGCAGAGACTGAGCGGGGGGCGTGGGGGGGCAGCGCCGTCCAGAGGGCTGCTGCCTCTGGCCAGAAGGACCGATCGACTGACCGCTTTCCACACTGCCCAACAGCCAGGGCTCACGGGGCGGCCCGCCTGCTCCCGCCACGCCACTCGCAGGGGGCCCCGGGGCCGCGCCACCAGTGGCCGGCAGCAGGCAACCGGCTGAGGTAAGTGCGCCAGGCCGGGCCTCTGGGCAGGCTCCCCTCGTGGGGGGCTGGTGCCGGGGAGCGGGCGGGAGGGAGGCCAGCCTGGAGCTGCTCCGGAGGCCCACCCCCTTTCCTTGCCCCCAGGTCCACCGACGAGAGTGGGGCAGAGGCCCGGGCCCCCCTGCAGCTGGCTGTGGCCCGGGCGGCCGAAGAGCGCCTCCAGCAGGCCAGCAGACGGGCCGAGGAGGAGCAGAGGGCCGGGCCCGGCCCCACGTCGCCCCCCAGCCGCCCGGCCCCCTCCGTGCCTCCGCTCCTCCGGCTGTCCTTGCAGGCCGCCGTCACCCTCCTCACAGGTAGCGCGCCCCCGCCCCCCTCCCCGGCGGCCCCCGGCGGCCCCCTAACCGCCCTCGCTTGCTTCCTTGTGCTACAGAGCCCCGCAGGCAGTACCGCGGCAGCCTGGCCGCCCTCGCGCCCGTGCTGGCGGAGCAGCTGCTGGCGCACGCGGCCCGGGAGGGCCTGCTGACCCCGCGCACCCTGCGGCTCTTCTCCGGCTGTGCCCTGCAGCGGCTGCGGCTGGACTGCTGCCCACAGGCCACCAACGCCCTGCTGCGCCAGCTGCGGGCCTTCCCTGCCCTGTGCCGCCTCCGCCTCGTCTCCTGCCCCGTCCTCACCGGTGAGTGGCTGGCTGCCCCGCCAGTGAAGCCCCGGCGCTCAGCCCTGGGTGGGGGGCTCGGGAGGCCGGCCGGGGCTGAGCGCCGCTCCTGCCCCCAGATCAGGGCCTGGCCGTGCTGCAGCACCTGCCCCGCCTCCAGCGCCTCGACCTCTCCGCCTGCGCGCAGCTCACCGACCGCTGCTTGCAGTTCCTGACAGGTGCGTCTCTGCCCCGGGGGGCGGGGGGGGGGGCTTTTGCCGGCAGAGCAGGCCGCTCATGCCGCCGGCTCTCCCTGCAGGGCTGCCGCTGCTCTCGCACCTGGCTCTGGACCGCACGCGCGTCTCGGACCGGGGCCTGGTGCCCTTCCTGCTTGCGGCGCCGCCCAGCCTCACGCACCTGAGCCTCGGCCACACCGGCGTCACGGAGGGCTCCCTCCGCCTCCTTCCCCAGGGCGCCCCGCGCCTGCTGCTGCTCAGCCTGAAGCAGACGGGCGTAAGTGGCCGCTCTCCACTCTGGTGGGGGGCGTGTGGGCCAGGCGGGACAGGGCCGGGCTCGGGGCCTGTCCCACCACGCCGGCTTTGTCCCCAGGTCACGGACGTGTCGGCGCTGCGGCAGCTGGAGGCACTGCAGACGCTGCACCTGGACGGCACCCGGGTGAGCGAGGCCTCCCTGCGGGCCCTCTCGGCCCACCCTGCCCTCTCCTGCCTGACGCTGGCAGGAGTGGAGTCGGTGCGAGGCGACCACGCGCTGGAGCTGGTCTCAGGTACGGGGCGCGGCCGGGCCTTCCCGCAGCCGTTCTGGAGGGGGCCCCGAGTCCGGCCAGCCCAGGCCGCTTCGCGCTCAGCGGGTGGCAAGGGGGCCTGCAGCGGGCAGCCCCGAGGCCTCCTCCCGCATCGCACGCCAGCCCCACGGACCCCTCTGCCGGGCCGCTGCGGGGCCTGCGGTGGCCCCTGGGGCATGGCGTGTTTCACCCCCCCCCGGCTTTTGCAGGACTGCCCCTGGTGCAGCTGACCTTGCCAAGCCGGCACACGGTCACCAATGTCGGCCTGGCTGCTCTGTGTCGCCTGACTGGGCTTGTGGAGCTTGACCTGACGGACTACAGCCACATCTCGGACGAGGGGCTGCAGGGCCTGCCACAGCTCTGCCGGTAAGGGGCCCCGCGGAGCCCCCTGCTGCCTTGAGCGCTTGAGCCTGCGCTCAGCCCCTTCCCGGGCACGTTCTGTTCTGCTGGCGGGGGGCCTTTCCCCTTCCCCCCGCCTGACTTCTGGCCGGTGCCTGGCCCAGCCCTGAGCCCCCTTGGGCCTGCCGGTCGAGGGGAGCCCCCGGAGAGTCCAGCGGGGCAGCCCAGAAGGCCGCGGGGGCCACGGGGTCTGCTTCTTCAGGGGCCTTCGACCACCGTCCTCTCCTGCAGGCTGCGCCGCCTGTCGCTCAGCAACACTCCGGTCACGGACCGCGGCCTGCGCCACGTGCAGGGCCTGCCACTGCTGGAAGAGCTGTGCTTGGACCGCCTCGGGGTCTCCGGCGCGGGGGTGGCCCGCTGCATCGTCTGCCTCCCCCACCTGCAGGTATCGGCAGTCCCGGCCGGTCCCCGGGAAGCAGCCCCGAGGGGGGAAGACGGGGGTGCAGGGAGGCAGCCTGGCTCTGCTGCCACAAGGCGTGTCCCCCGGGCCACGGTGACTGGGCTGGCCTGGGGCGGCGATCCCCCTCCAGGCTGCCCCCGGCTGCGCTGGCGTTGTCCCCCCCGGGATCCCCGCAGGGGGCGCAAGCGGGGCCTGTGTGGGAGGCGGAGGGCTGCCCTGCAGGGGGAGCGCCAGGCCCTCCGCAGAGGCAGAGCCGCTGGGGGCGGTGGCGAGGTGGGGGCCCACGCTGTGCCTCCCCTTCCAGGTCCTGAGTCTCGCCGGCACGCCCGTCGGGGACTCGGTGGCCAGGCGGGGCCTCGCCCGCTGCAGGCAGTTGCTCAAGCTGAACCTGAGCAGGACGCGGCTGACGGACCGAGGTGGGCCTGGCCGGCGCTGGGGGAGGCGTGCGGCTAGCGCGTGGCCTCCGCTGGCTGGGGGTCCCGGCTAGAACAGGAGCCCCACGGTCCGGCGTGGGACGTCCCCAGCCCCGGAGGCTGTAGGGGTGCCAACGCGGGCAGGCCGAGCTGCAGAGCAGGCTGGTCCTCCCGGGAGAGCGTGGCCAGGGCGCCCCTTTCTGGTGGTGGCACACGCTCGGGGGGCTGGGGGAGGGGGAGGGCTGCCCCCGCCTGCCCGCCTCAGCGGCCACCCCTCTCGCTCGCCCCTCACGCCCCCCTCCCCCCACAGGGCTCCGCTTCCTCGTCACGGTGCCGCTGGTTCAGCTCAACCTGGATGGCTCTGGCGTGACGGCGGCCGGCGTGGCCAGCTTCCTCGCCGCCTGCCCCTCTCTGGGCAGCGTCCGGGCCGGGAACCTGCGTGTCCTGGCCGCCGAGGACGTCTCGGACGAAGAGGGGCCCGGCTAGAGGGGCTGGGCCCGAGCTGCACGGTGGCTGGGCGGCTCTGACTGGGCCCGAGCTGTCGTGGCACCAGCCCTGCCCCAAGGCGTTTCGGCCATGTGTGCCTTGCGCGAGGAGTTTCGGGGGCCAGAGGAGGGCTCTTCCGTGCTCTTGCAAATCTCGGCTTCCTCATTCTCGCTGGGCAGCCGCACGAGGGGTGCCCTGCCCTGCCCTGCCGCCGTGGGCAGGACAGGAGGCCTGAGACGGAGAGCGGCTCCTGCAGAGTGCAGAGAGCCGCCTCGGCCCTGTCCAGCCCAGGAGGCGCAACGCTCGTGCCTTTACCTTTCCAATAAAAAGCGGGCCTGATTCTTTCTGGACTTGGGATCGTGTGTCTCCCGGTGGTTTGTTCCTGCGCCCTGGAGAGACTGTTGGAGCTTTCCCACAGCCAGCAGGCAGGCGGGGGCTTTTCCGAGGCTGCGGGTCCCTCCCCAGTGCAGCCCCCTTTTGACTGCAGGCAGGTGCTTCCAGAATCGTGTCCACAGAGCAAGAACTGCTCAGGCGTGCGGAAGGCGGGGCCCGCGGGGCTGCAGGGCAAGCAGACTTCCTTGCAGCCTTCATGGTGGGGGCAATGTGGGGGTGCTTGTTTACCGCGTTTGATTACCTCCCCACAGTCAGGAGGGCTGTCTGGGCAGTTTACAATAAAATGTAGTAAAAACAATACATCAATAAAACAAAAATACTATAAGAAACCATTAAAAACAGTATAAAAATCGGCAGTTGAAGATGAAAGCAAGGCATGGAGCAAATCAGAAAGAAAAGCAATGTTAAAAACCAAAGTGACTACAAGAAGACCTGGAAAATAAACCGGCCTTTGCCCAGTGTTGGAGAGAGGCAGCGACGGCGGGGGCGGGGGCGGGATGTTCCTCAGGTGGGGTGCCACCCCTCCTGGGCAGGGTGATGGAAAAGGGTTGGGGGCACCAGGAACTCAGGCCTGGCCTGCATCCACCGCCTGCCCGAGGAGTGTCCAGCTGGCTCCCACACCTGGGGGACTCTGAGCACCCACATTTTTGGGGGCGGGGGAGAAGGATCAGGCCGCAGCCGTGAGGCTCCCTGTGGCACACCCTTTCCGGGACAGCCTGTATTCCCCTGCTGACCCATATTGTAGAATCATGGAAAAGTCGAGCTGGAAGGGGCCACGAAGGCCCTCGGGTCCACCCGCACGCAGATGGCTCTCCAGTTTCTTTTTGAATGCCACCATGTGGGAGAGCCCCCCGCGCTGAGTGGTTCTGGGTCTCCAGGCGGCTGGCTCCACTGCCGCATTGCCCTGGCCATGAGGAAGCTTTTCCTGATGTCCAGCCTGGATCTGGGTTAATTATTCCGTGTCCTCCTCTGGCATCAGCAAGAAGAGATCTTGGCCTTCCCCTTTGTGGCAGCTTTTGAGGTATTTATAGAGGGGTATCATGTCCCCCCTCAGCCTGCTCAAGGCTGAACATGCCCAATTCCCTCAGCCTCTCCTCACAGGGCAGTGTCTCCAAACCTGGGATCATTTTCCCTGCCCTCCTCAGGACCCTTTTGAATTTTCCTGCATCTTAAAGGTCTGACTAGTGGGGAGTAGAGGGGCACTACTAGTTCTCGTGATTTGGAAGTAACACTTCTGGTAATGCCTCCCAAAATAGCATTTGCCCTTTTTGCAGCTGCATCGCGTTGTTGGCTCATGTTTAGCCTGTTGTCCACAATGACTCCGAAATCTCGTTCACTTTCAGTCCTGTTGAGCCACATGTTCCCCACCTCGTACTGATGCATGTAAGAGGCCACGAACCGCATCTCGTGGCAGCGATTTCCACAGGTGGAAAGAAGGCCGTCCTTCTGTTGGTCCCCAGTCAGCTCCAGGGCCGACCGCTTTGGGCTCCAGTGCAATGAGTGAGTGGAACAGCCTTGCTCTCGGCACCACTGGATGCCCACCAGGCCTGGTGCCCAGTCCTTCTGGCCGGCCCCCCTCGCCTGCCTTCTTCCCAGGCGCCACAGTCCCAGCTGCCGCTAGGGGCCCCCAGGGGGAGCAGCTGCAGCCCCTTGATCATTTCCTTTTGCCCTCTGCACTTTTTCTGCCTCTGCAATGTCCTTTTTGGGGCCTGGGGCCAGAACTGCACGCAGCCCCCCTCCCCCCGCGTGGTCACACCGTCAAGGGAGCGTGAGGCTGGCGGTTGTGGTTGCGGTGCCTTCCCTCCTCATGCCTGACACGGAGCCTGCGTTTCTTACAGCCCCCTCTGGGCTGACACTTCCAGTCAAGACCCCTTTCTCGGTCGGTGGCCGTGGACTCGGATCCCACGGCCTTACGCCTTAAGGTGGGGCTTTTTGCCTCGACACGCCATCACGGCATCTCCAAGGTACGGGACGCTCCGGATGAGAGCCCTCCAAACAGCCTTTCCTCGCAGCCCCGCTCAGCCCTCACAAACTCCAGGCTGCGGCTTCCTTTGGGGGGGATGCGCCCCATTGCTGGTCTTCCCTCCCTCTCCTCTCCGTTCAGCTTCACGCTTGCCTTCCGCAGAGTCCCGGCTGCTCCCAGTGCGGCCAAGCGCAACAGCCTCAGTCCGGGGTCCACTCAGTTGCCTTCCCTCCAGCTTTCACACTCGTCCGTGGTCATGGGGAACACCCTGGTGCCGACACTGTTGCCCTTGAGATGGCCTCTCGGAGCTCCTTCGCTACTGCTTTTCCCAGTCTCAGCCTTCCAGTTTCTTGGCTGCCCTCTCCCTTGGAACAGGCGACTGAGCCAAGAGACACTTTCCCTCCATTTCCTCATTGCTGACATTTAAAATTGTGCCGCTTCGTATTTGGCACAACCCGCACTTTGTCGTCGGGAGCTTTTCTCCATTCGTTGCTGTTTCTGGCTAGTAAGATGCTGTCACCTGCGTATTTTATTTATTTATTTATTTATTTATTAAAACATTTCTATGCCGCCCCTTGCCGTAGCCTTAAATTATGGCTGTGTCCTCGGTCAAGCTGCACTCCTTCCTGTGACCCTAATCCAGCTTTCCTTATGATACGTTCTGCCGAACTGGCAGGGAGATAAAATACACTTTTGTCTGGCCGCTTCGCCTAGGGGAAGCCGTTCCCCTTGGCCATATTCCGCCCTCTTGGCAACAGGACGGCTCTGGTGCTGCGGCCCCCCTCCCTCCCACATCCTTATCACCATTTCCCCCAGTGCGGCCTGCAAAGCCATTCAGAAGGCATGCAATACACGCAACTTCGTGGCAGGCAGGCGGTTTGCCGTGCAGCCGAAGCGTCCTGCACAAATCCGGCGGCCCGCGTGACCAGGGAGTGCGTGCCGCACGCTGCCCCGGCCAGCCACCCTGAAGGAGGCTCGCTTGTCTTCTGCAGTGCGAGACAGACGTGGAGCGTCACGGGGTCATTCCCCTTCCTCAGCACAACACCCTCCTTCTGCAAGATGCCTCTTAGGCATTACGTGAGCAGAGATGGCTGGAGCCAGGGGTCAGACTAGATGGCCTGGGAGGTCCCTTCTGAGTCGCTTCCCCCCCTCTGTTTCTGACAGCAGGCAAGCTGCCACCATGGGGGGGGGGGACGTGCCTCCCGCTAGGCCCGCTGCATGATGGAGCCACCCGCACAACTGCGATCAGCCTTTGCTGCCAGGCAAGGAGGGCACAATCGCAGTGTGGGGGAGGCTTCCCGGAACGGCACAGTGAGCGCCCCTGCGGTCGGCCCCTCTGCTTGCCCGGCCACGGAGGCCCAGCCGGCAGCTCAGCGCCAAGTGTGGGGGGACACGCCCCTTTCCTGACCTGGACCAGCCGCAGGGCTGCCCCCCACGAGGGGACAGGCTCCTCGACCCTCCTCTGCAGGCGCCTCCTCCTCGGGCCCCTTCTCGGGATGCCCACCGCCCACAGATGTGGGAGGACCCCCTGGCGCCAGCCGCAGCAGGCGAGGCGCCAATGCCCCGGGCAGCGCGGGCCCAGGAACCGCTCGCCGAGGCTGCCCCGCTCCGCCCCTTTGCTCCCTGGCCCCGGGGCCCCTCTCGGGCATGCGGAGGCAGCCCAGGAGCGCCCGCTGGCGGCAGGCGGGACCGCCCGGGGGCTTCCACGGGGCAGCCGGTCGAGCAGCGGGGGGGGGGGCAGGGGGGAGCGGGGGGGCCGAGCACCGGCGGCACGTGCGGCGGGTGCCCGGGCCGGCTGCGGGCTGGGGGAGGCCGCCTCCCGCCTGCAGGGCTGCACGCTCGTGGCTGGCAGGCAGGGAGGGAGGGACGGGGGGACGGACGGGGGTGGGACGCCGCGCGGAGCCGGAGCCGGAGCCGGAGCGAGCGAGCGAGCGGCTTCCCGGAGCGCGTTCGGCGACGGAGAGCCGAGCCCGAGCCAGCAGCTGCGGCGGCACCCGCGCGAGCTCCGCTCCGCTCCGCCCGGCCGCCCCGCGCAGGGCTTCCCCCTGGGGGGCTGGGCAGCGCCAGCAGGAGCTGCAGGGGCTGAGCGCGGGGCCCCGTCCCGCCGGGCGAGGCATGAGCCGCCGGCAGGAACGGCCGCCCAGAGCGAGCCGGGCGGGGGGCCGAGGCCGCCTGCGCTGAGGGCGGGGCGGATCCGGGGGCCGCTCGCCCGCGCAGCTCCGGCGAAGAGGGGCGCAGCGGCGCGCGGCCCCGGCGGCGCTTCGCCCGGCCATGGAGGCGGCGGCGGAGCGCGGCCGGGAAGGGGCGCGCCCGTCGCGCCTGCAGGCCTTCGCCCGCGCGTCGTCCCTGCACGGGGTGAGGCACGTCTTCCCCTCGGGCGCGCTGTCGCTGCGCCGCCTGCTCTGGGCGCTCGCCTTCCTGGGCTCGCTGGCGCTGCTGGCCCTCGTGTGCGCCGAGCGCGCCGCCTTCTTCCTCAGCCACCCGCGCGTCACCAAGCTGGACGAGGTGGCCGTGCCCAACCTGACCTTCCCGGCCGTCACCATCTGCAACCTGAACGAGTTCCGCTTCTCCAAGATCACGCGCAACGACCTCTACCACGTGGGGGACCTGCTGGCCCTGCTGGGCGCGCGGGACGAGCTCGGGCGCGCGCCCCCGCCCGACCCGGAGGCGCTGGCCGCCCTGCGCGAGAAGGCCAACTTCAGGGGCTTCAAGGCGCGCGCCTTCGACATGGCCGACTTCTTCAACCGCACGGGCCACGACATGGCCGAGATGCTCTGGCACTGCTCCTTCCGCGGCGCGCACTGCAGCGCGCGCAACTTCTCCGTGGTGAGTGCGGCGCCCGCGCGGGGCAGGGCTGGGGCGCCCAAGGGCAGCGCGCTCGCCTCCTCCCCGTCCTCGCGGCGTGCAGGGTGGGAGCGGGAGGCGGCCCACGGCCGGCGGGCTCTTGTGGCGGCCTCCGCGCGGGGATAAGGGCGCCCCTTCCCCGCGCGACTTGCGGCCTGGAGGGCAGGGCCTAGGCCCGGCTGCTGCCCTCGGGCTGTTCCAGACGGCCGTGCCTCGATCCGCCGCCGCTCGCCCTGTGGACAGCCCAACGGGCTCGGCAGGTGGCTGCGAATGCTCCTGCAAGCTCTGCGGGGGCCCTGGGGTGCTCGCAGCTCTCCAGGTGGGCTCGGGCAGCCCGTCGGGGCATGGGGATCGGGAAGCAGCCCGGTCTGCTGCCAGGCTGGGCTGGACCTGCTCCCATTCTGAGGCCCTCCGGACTGTTGCCTGCATGGCCTCTGGCCCGGGCTCTCGGGGAGGGGGGTGTTGGCCCATGGCCACCCTGACGCATCCGTGCCAATTTTCTCCTGGAGTCAGGCGGGCTTGGGGGGCCGCCCGTGTGAGCAGCGGGCAGGAGAGGCCGTCCCGCTAGGACCCAGACCCTCTCAGGCTGGTGCCAGATGTGGCTGTCCAGTGGGGCACTGCATGCGGCCCCAGAGCCAGAGCGGGTGGGGGACTTGATGCCCTGAAGGCTTTGAGCGAGCCTGGCCTGAGGACTTTCTGGCTCGCAGCTCCCTGGCCGTCGCCCGGATGTGCCGGCTTCCCATCGGCCCTCCTCCAGGCTCGCCTGGTCCAGGGAAGGCCCTTCCCACCCAGGCCCTGGCACCAGCTCCCGGGGTGCCAGGGAGGCCTTGGCAGGCACAGAGCCACATGCCTGGCTGCCCGTCGTGGGCTCTGAGCTGGGCAGAGTGGGAGGAAGGGGAGGGGGACTGCTGGGCCCTTGCCTCATTTCCTGGGACCCCCCTGGCCTGGGAGCAGGGGAGCTGTGTGTGGCAGGGCCAGCAACGAAGGGGTCGCCCCATCTTTCTGCAGGCCTGCTGCACAGTGCCTGGCCCGTTTGAAGAAGCAGCCGGGGTGCTTGCTGGGGGGGTGGCAGGCCTGGAGGGGCAGAGCGGGGAGGGTGACAGCCCGCAGCAGCCAAGCACCGGGCTGGGCCTGAGTCTCTGAGCACCTGTGTCGAGCGAGGCATCACCTGCCAGCTGGAAGAGGCAGGGCCCCTCAGGCTTCCGGATGCAGGAGGGGGGGCTCTGGCGTGTGTGTGGATGTCGCGGGGCGTTCCTTCAGAGGTCTGCCGTGACCCCCAGCAGGGTGGGGTGCTGGGGCGCCGGTCCCTTGGATCCCGAAGGCAGGCTAGCTGGCCTCTGGGCAGGCACCGGGCCCCTCAAGCAGGCTGTGCGCTCAGCAGCCCCTCACTGGCCGGACGCCTGGGGATGCCTGGGGGTTGAGCACGAATGGACGGGCACACAGCAGGGCCTGCGGGCACCCAGCACCGCCGGAGAAGCAGCCTTGGCACCCGTGGAAGGCTTGGCGGCCCTCTGGCAGCGCTCCTGCTGCGCCCCCACCTGGCTCAGCTGCTGCGGAGCTCCTGCTGCGGGGCTCAGCGGGGCTCGGCCAGGTGGCCAGCATCCCTCCTCCTCCTCCTGGCAGAGCAATGCCCTCGCAGCCCTGCCCCTCCGGCATCCTTGCTGCCCCCCAGCCCCCTGCCCCCCACCTGGCAGACGATTCCTCCCCCTGCTCGGCTGGCGGGACACCCTCCAGACTGCCTGCCGCACCCTCCGCATCTGTTGCCGTGGGAGTGCACAGTCCTCCCTGCCTGGGACAATCGGTTGCCACGGTGATTCCCTTCACGGGAGTGGAGCTTGTTGCCAGGGCAGCATCTCCCCCCCCCCCCCGCCAGCTCTGCAGACTCACATGGTGGAAGGGGCTGCGCAGGCCCTGCGGCTGGAAGTGAGCAGAGAACCGGCCCACGTGGCGCCGCTCCCCCCTCCCCACGCCCTCCCCACGCCCTCCCACACGCCTCCAACGGGCGCACGCCCTGCATCATGCTGGCACACCTCTCCGGGGGAGCAGGGCCGCCTGCCCTGCTTGCATGGAGGCCGCCTCTGCTGCGGCCTCCTTTCCGTGGCTTCCGCTACAGGTGGCCAGTGCCCAGATCTCCGCGGGGATCATGCATGCACCTCAACCCGTTTCCTGCCTTTTGCCCATTTTTGTCAATTAGATGCCTATACTGCAGTCGCCAGCATGTGCCCACTATCGGTCCTCTTTGCCCCACGAGGCGGCGATAGCGCCATGGCCCGGCTCCGCGCTCTGGGCGCAGCTCAGGCGTGTCTCCCGACGTGCCACACTTCCCACACTCTGGCTCGGCTTCCCGCCCGCCTTCCTGAGGCCTCGTGATGAATCCGCAGCGGCCTCAATTGCCGTGAATGATTTTGCATCTCCTGCAAATTCGGCCACATTTGTTGAAAACGGCAACGCTGCTGGGCAGCCCAGACAAAGCCGCCGGCAAAGGCGAGCGATGCTCCTTCTGAGCTACATCTGGGCAGGCCGCCCGCGTGCGCGGGGAGGGGAGCCGGCCCAGCCCGGTGGCGGCTGGGAGGGGGGGCCCGTTGGGTCAGCCCCTGCCTTGGGGACGCGAATGCTTGGTGCTGGCTTTGGGCAAGAGCTCCTGTTCTGGGAAGGATGAGAGGTAGGGCTTTCGGCCCAGTGGATGCGGGAAGCTGCCCCACAGCTCTCTTGGCAGCGGGCCGCAGAGGGGTGTGGGGATGGCGAGCCAGGAAGGTGGGAACGGTGAGCGCAGGCTGCCGGGGAGCAGCTCGGTCTGCCTCAGGGGCCGCGCCAGACACTACTGCTCCCAGGAAGAGAAGGCGCTCCCATGCCTGAAGGCTGGCTTGTGTGGAAGGAGGGCCTGTGTCCCCTCGGCTGAGAGGCACCTGCTGGGCTCTCTTCTGCCGGCAGCTCTGAGAAGGGGCCGTCGTGGCGCGAGCGGCGTCTGGGGCCACGCGGGACTTGCCGCCACCAGATCCAGCGCACGGCCGGCTGCTCCGGCCCCTCCCCCAGGGCTCCCAGCCTGGCAGCCGGCCAGCCGCCACCGGCCGGCCTCCTTGGTCACCTGCGGGGCAGTCCCTCCCACCAGCTTGCTTCACCCCCGGCTCCCACACGTTCCCGAAACACGATCGGCCCAGCCAGTGGCACGCAGAGACAGCTCTGCCCTCGGACGGACGGACGGACGGACGGACGGACTCCCGGGGACGGGGCCATGGGGAAAGGCAAGGCGGGCGCTGCGGCACCCGGGGCCTCAGCCGGCCTGGCGGCCTTTGCCAGCACCTGCACCCTGCACGGCCTCAGCCACGTCTTCCTGCCGGGGCCGCTCACCCCGCGGCGTGTGGCCTGGGCAGCCACCCTCCTGGGGGCGGCAGGGCTCTTCCTGTACCAGGTGGCCGAGCGGGTCCAGTACTACCGGGAATACCACCACGTCACCATGCTGGACGAGCAGGAGGGCCGGCAGCTCCTCTTCCCGGCCGTCAGCCTCTGCAACTTCAACCGCATCCGGCGGTCCCGGCTGACGCGCAACGACCTGCACTGGCTGGGCCGGGAGCTGCTGGGCGTGGAGCCCGCCGACCACCTGCGGTACTTGGGGGCGCTGGGCCGCCCGGAAGGGGACGACCCCCCGTTCGTCCCCAGCGCGCACTTCGACATGCGGGAGTTCACCGAGCGCACCGGCCACGGCCTGGAGGACATGCTCCTGGCCTGCCGCTTTGGAACCCGGGAGTGTGGTCCGGAGAACTTCACCGGGGTGAGTCCTTCGGGCCCCGTTGTGCCTCCGCCTCGGCTCCGTCGCCCCTCCCCAGCTGCGGCGTTCGCTGCCGTTCCCGGGCCTGCCTGACCAGGCCTGGGCTGGCCGTGCTCCCACGGCCGGGCACAGAGCCACCGGTGTCGTCTGGCGGGCCCGGGCCGGGCCACTTGCTCCGGGGCCGCGCAGACTCTGCCGCCAGCCCACCCTCTGCCCACTTCGGGTGGCGTGGCTGTGCCTTCTCCGCCCCATGCATGGCTCGGGGAGCTTCCGGGGCCCGTCGGACAGCCCTGCAGCCCCAAGCCTGCCACCCCGGCTCCGCGGTCACGTTCTCATGGTGGGGGGCTCTCCCTTCCCACCCCTGAGCACCCAGGGTGGCAAAAGCCGCCAGAGAGGCGGCCTGGCCCCCTGCGGGAGAGCGAGCATCAGACCGCGGCAGAGGCCCCCGGGAGGAGGGCTGGGGTGCTTCTCCCGCGGCAGGCAGGGACCAGTTGGCGCTGGGGAGCGCGTCTGCAGCTGGGGGAGGCGGGAGCCTGCAGGTGAGTGCGGGGGGCACTGCCTCACCTGCCAGGCCGCGTGCTCGCCGATGGAGCGTGGTCACGTGTTCCTGCCTGCCGCTGCGAGGATGCGACCGGTGGGCGGCTGCTATTTGGGGCTCGGGAGTGCGGGGAGGGGGGCGCAAGCGAAGTGTGCACCGAGGGAGGGGTGGAGCTGGGCGCACAGGCACAGCAGCTGCAGAGCACGGGTGCAGCTGCGGGCGCCTCGCCATCCCCCCGGCCATGGGCTCCCCTCCCCGGGCCTCTCCCCGCCGCCTGCCGCGGCTGGGCTCCCAGAGGCAGGGACGGGGCAAGGGCGCTTTGGGCTGCCAGTCCCCGGCCCCCTTCTCTGCCGCGCTGCCGCGGTCCCAGAGGCCGCTCCGGTTGCAATGCGGAGCAGAGGCTCCTGCGGGAGGCAGGTGCCGAGTCGGCACAATTTGACTCCCAGCAGCCATGCAGCCGGAGCGCCCGCTCGCCCGCTCGGAGCCACCGCCAGTCACGGGGCCGTGGCATCGCAAGGGGCACTGAGGCCACCCGGCCTGGACTCCTCTTGGCGTCCAGTCCCAGGAGGGCAAGGAGGCCGAAGCGCACGATCGAGCTGTCGATCCGACTGGAGAACCAGTGCAGGACTAGGGCTGTGGCCTGTGGGTTCGGTTGTCATGTGGCAGACTGTGGGCTGCTGAGGCATCTGAGCATGTGCCAAGTTCAAGGGAACGAATCAGCTGGCAAGTGCCAGCTGCAGGCCCCTTAGCCCCCAGCTTGTCGTGTGTCCTGGCGAGCATCTTCCCCTTCGTGGCGCCTCTGCTCTTCCCCCTGAGGGGCTCCGGGGGACCTGCAGCGCTAGCGGCGACGAGGCCCGGCTTGGGGGGCTGGGCTCGCGGCAGAGTCCCTGAGCAAGGGAGACCCTTTTGCGCAGCAGGCCGGGGGGCCCTCCTCGCAGGGGTGGGGACAGGCGCAGGGCAGCCGCTCTGGGGCACAGCTGGCAGCCTTCGGGGCCGGGCAAAGGCGCCTGGCTCCGGCCTTCAGGCTGCTCCTGCATCGTCCGGCCCGGATCGCTTCCCGTGCAGACCACCCCAAGCACTCCCTTTAGGGGGCAGGATGTGCAGGCAGGGAAAGAGCTCGCCTGCGCGGCGGTCCAGCGGCCGGCGGGCCTGCAAGGTGCCCAGCAAGCGAAGGTGGCTTCCTTGTGCTGAGCCGGCCTGGCGTGGCCTGTGGAGACGCGGCCAGGCTGGCCTGCTTCGGGGTCTGCCTGAGAACGGCCAGCATGGCGTGCCTGGGACGGCCTGAGTGCCGGCAAGCTGTGGCGGGCAAGAGGTGAGGAGGGCGGGCTGGCCGAGCTGAGCCCCCCGGCCCCCCGGCCCCGTTACCGGGGGCAGGAGGAGCCCAGCTAGGCGAGGGACTGGGCCCCTTGCCTCCGGGCCGGAGGGCCCTCCGCTGCAGGCAGGGGGCTGCTTCCTGGGCCAGCCCTCCCTTCCTCACTGTGACGTGGAAGGACCTGCCGCAGCCCGGGGAGTCGGGGCCCATGGAGGTGCCGGGGAGCCCCGTGCTGGCCCACAGGGCATTGGGGCAGCCCTGCCGGCCAGGCCGGGGCCCGTCTCGTCCGGCACTCGGCTCAGCTGCCCGCGAGGCCCCACAAGCGGAGGCGAGGGCACCCGCACCCTCCCGCCCGTGCTCTCCAGCAAGACCAGCAGGCTCTGTTGGCCCCTCCCCAGTTCGGAGAGACCCTTTCAGAGCGCCTCACAATCCCTTGTGTTTTAACTGCGAGAAATAATTTGATGTCATCAACAAACCTGCCCCCTTCTCTGATCACTCCTAAATCCCGCTAATTTATGACTGTTAATTTATATTATTTTAACGAAGTTTATTTATGTTTGTGAGCTGCCCCGAGGCTTCGGCGAATGGGGCGGCATAGACATTTTCTAAATGAATAAATAAATAAATGAGGCTGAAGAGCGTTGGACCCACCAGACGCCCCCGCGGGTGGCGGTGCTGCTTGCTTCCCTGCACTGGGGAAAACCCGTCTATTCTATTTCTAATTTCTTACTGATCACTGACCACTTTCTGATCCATTTGAGAAGCGCCTCTTCTTCCCCCACTGCTGGTTTCTCAGGAATCCTCGGTGGGACTCCGACAAAAGCCTTTCGGAAGGAAGTGGCCGATCACGCGCTTGCCGCTGCTCTCGGGGATCGGCCAGCGAGGCAGGACTTGCCTCGCAGGGGCCGGGCTGCTCCTTTGCAGCCGCTTGTCCGTCTGCGTGGTTATTCTTTCTTTCGTTCCATCAGTTCGCCCAGAACAGGGATTCAGTCAACTGGCCTGTGATTTCCCAGAAGCCCCTTGGTTCCCTTATAAAAATGGGGTTCGGGGGACCATTCTGCAGTCCTTTTGCACAGAGGCTGGTCTGAGCAACAAGTTACATGTTTTTGTTAGAAGATCGGCAATTCCGTATCTGAGTTCTGGCTCTGAGTTATTAACTTCCTGAAAACACCCCTTTGGGCAGGGATCTCCGCCCTTTCTCTTCGGCAGTAAACGGATGAAAAGGACCCATTCGGCTCCTCTGCGCGCTCTCCATTCTCCTCTGGGGCTCCTTTTACTCTCCTATCGTCCAACGGTCCAACGGCCGCTCGAGTTGAGTCTCTTGTCTCTTTAAAGAAATCTTTACCGGTGGCTTTGATGTTGCAAGTGAGATGCCCTTGAAATGTGCTTTCGTGCGCTTACTGCCGACTCGAGCGTGCGAGGCCGTGTGCACGGCTGGCCTGCCTGGCCCCTTCCCACTCTGCTGGCCCACGATTCTGCATCCCTCCGGCAAGCAGCTGCTCCCTTTTGCTCCTTCCTTCGAGCAAGACTCGGCTGCCTTGGCGCGCTCGCTCACCCTGCTGCTGTCCTACCTCACGTATGGATTACACGCTCCCCAGTCTCTGCCTTTGTGGATGGGAATTTCCTGCAAGCCTCTTGACTCCCTTTCATCTTTCTTCTGACAGTCGCTCTTCTGAGCCTCTTTGGTCATCTGCTTTGTGAATGTAGGCTAAATCTGATACCCCTGCGGTCGCTGCTTCCATTTGGTTCCTCAACATTTGCACCCCCTACGAGTCTCTGGGCAGCCGCGCTGGGAACGCGTCCAGGGCTGCTTCCTTTGGGTCAGCCGCGTGGCCAACAGCTCTTGGGCAGCCCCTCAGGATGCTGAGAAATGTGACCAGTTTGCCAGAAAGGCCCGGTCCATGTGGACTCCCGGCCACTGCGCGTCCTGGCGGAAGCCCTTCCTGATTTCATTTTCCACCCAGGAACGCCTCGACCGCTCCGGTGGCAGCACGTTCCTGGGGCGACGGGGAGGGATTGTCTCCCTTGGGTTTCCTCACCTGGGCGCTTGTGCTTGCACAGAGGCACCCGTGCCCGGCCTCCCGTTCCAGGTGCCTCTGGCAGGGGTGCCTCCCGTTTTGGCACGCAGGCCTCTGTGACAGGCGTTCTCATCCGCCGCGTGCCCGGCGTCTGTCTGCGTCTGGGTGATTGGGAGGCTTCCGTCCGTCCGTGTGCCCGTGCTGCCCCAGCCGTGACTCGAGGCGACCTGGGATCCCAAGGCCCAGCTTTGCCTGCCAGGGGCTGCACTGAGCGAGTGACAGACTCGGAGCGCGCAGGTTCTTGGTCAGCGATCGGCCGGCTGCAGAGCTGGACAACGTGGTGTGAACGGCAGCAGACTGGCCGAGGGACAGGCTGCCCGGGCTGGGCTCCCGAGCTTAGAAAGGCAGGGCAGAACGGGGGACCTGCAGAGGGGAACCCGGTGTGACGCGGGAGGAGTGGGGCCCTTCCCCTCAGCCATGGCGCTGGACCCCATGGGGCTGTTCCAGAGGCTGCTGGGAGAACCTGAGCGCAGCCACAGCGAAGGCTCCCGTCGAGCTCGGTTGCGGGTCCGCTCCCGTGAGACGTTGCACAGCCGTCCGACTGAACACCCTCAGGAGGAGGAGACTGGCAGAGGCTGCTTCCCGGTGGCCTCATAGGGCGGCGCTGGACTGGGGCGCAGGAGCTGGGCTGGAACCCCAAAGCTGTTGCAGGAGTGAAACGGAGAGGAAGGGGCTTGCGCGAGCCGCCGCAGCTGCGGTGCTGGGAAGGAGGGGGAGGATGGAGAGCCTCCGGCTTCCTACCTGTGCCTCCCAGTTGTTGGGGGACTGGCGGGGGGGGGGCTCTGCACGGCCTTCCCAGGCATGGGCTTCCCGCCCATGGTGTGCCAGCGTGGGGCACGGAGAGAGATGCCTTGTGGCCTCTGGCCATGCTGGGGCCAAAGACTCCAGGCTGCCACCGGAGCTGCCCTTCCCCGCATCAGAGGCGAGCGGGGAGGCGCGCCGAGGAAAGGCTGCCCCGGAGTGATTCCCCACCCAGACGGGGCACGGGGGCTGCCTCCCCAGGGCCCCCCCGTCTCTGTCCGGTGCCTCTCAGCCTGCCTCTCCCTCCCTCCCCCCTCCCCTCCCTCCCCTCCGCAGATCTTCACCCGCTTGGGCAAGTGCTACACCTTCAACTCGGGAGCTCCCGGCCACGAGCTGCTCAGCACCGTCAAGGGCGGGACCGGCAACGGCCTGGAGCTGATGCTCAACATCCAGCAGGACGACTACCTGCCCGTCTGGGGAGACACGGGTGAGCGGCCCTGCCGGGGCCTCGGCACACTCCTGGCCGGCAGCAACCTTCCTCGCCCTCCAGCCAGCCGGGGGGGGCTCTCGGGGGGGCTGTGTGGGGTTCCCCTCGCCCGCTCTGCGGGTTCGTTTGCAGTCCATCTTGCGCCTGGGAAGGAGCCTTCCCGGCCAGCTCCACCTCCGTGGCTGCAGATGCCACGCTCCCTCAGGAGCCAGGCCCTCAAAGGGGGCAGCGGCCCCTCGTCCCGGTCAGCTGGAGCCGAGCTGGGAGCGGGAGCAGCCAAGCGGGGGGCTGCCGGCCAAGCGCCCACCACGTCCTTGTGGGGTCTCCCTTCAGTTGAGCCCCATGGGGGCCTGGAGCAGGCCTGGCTGGGTGAGGAGAGCCGAGGGAGCAGGACCGGAAGGAAGGGGCACCGTCAGACTCCAAGAACGGTGCGAACGGGGCAAAACTGGCGGGTGGGTGCATCGCCCTCGGGGCGCTGAGCGGTGGGGCTCGCCTTCGGCAGGCAGGCTGGGCAGCTGCCCAGCTGTAAAATTACCCGGCCCTCGTTAGGACGGGGGCAAAAGGGGGTTTGTGGGAGGGACAGCACAGCACCCGCTGAAGGCAGCGGTTGCCACGGGGCGGCCTAGCTTGCCTTGGCAACCGCGCGGGGACACGGAGGGCCACCCACATGGCCCGGGCCGATTCGGAGGGATGGCTGCCCGCCCCGGGGGCCACGGAGCCAGCCTCGGGGCCCCGACAGCCATCCCCGCGTGCCTTGCAGAGGAGACCTCGTACGAGGCCGGCGTGAAGGTGCAGATCCACAGCCAGCACGAGCCGCCCTCCATCGACCAGCTGGGCTTCGGGGTGGCGCCTGGCTTCCAGACCTTCGTCTCGTGCCAGCAGCAAAGGGTATCTCCCGTCCCCCCGGCCCAGGGGGCTCTTGCGCCTTGGCTGCCGCGAGCTCGGCGGGAGCGGGGGCCCGGCGGGGCCAGCAGGGGCCGGCCTCGACAGGAGGGCCGCGGCACGGGCCGGGCGGGCTCCGCAGCCCTTTCCTTGCCGTCTCTCGCCACAGCTGCTCTACCTGCCCCCGCCGTGGGGCGACTGCAAGGCCGGCCCCATCGAGTCCGCCTTCTTCGCCAACTACAGCATGGCCGCCTGCCGCATCGACTGCGAGACGCGCTACCTGGCAGAGAACTGCAACTGCCGCATGGTGCACATGCCAGGTCAGGCGCTGCGAGCGCAGGGTCCGTGGGGCCCGGGCGGCTCCTCACGGCGGCACTGGGCTTGTCGCCGCCAGCGCGTGCCCGAGAGGCACCTGGAGCACGTGGCCCTGCGCAGAAGCCCTGGGGGGGCCCCCTCCCCACGCAATTTCCTTCCCCAACAGGTGTGTTGTGCGCCGGGCGCCCCAAACAGGAAGGCGGGGGCCATGGCCGGTGCCCCACACTTGGCGCCGCCTGACCCGCCCCTCTGCTTCTCTCGGGCAGGCAACGCCAACGTCTGCACGCCCGAGCAGTACAAGGAGTGCGCCAACCCGGCCCTGGGTAAGCCTTGGCCCGCCCTCTGCGAGCCGCTGCGGGGGGCCCGGGGGGGCCTGGCCTCGCACCCTGCGCAGGGGCACCGCCTCCCTGTGCCAGCGGGACTGGGTGCCAAGCAAGGGTGCTGAGGCGAAGCCCCCTCCAGCCCCGTGTCGCCCCCCCCCTTCCCAGACTTCCTGGTGGAGAAGGACGACAAGTTCTGCTCCTGCCAGACGCCCTGCGAGACCGTGCGCTACGGGAAGGAGCTCTCTGTGGTCAAGATCCCCAGCAAGGCCTCAGCCAAGTACCTGGCCAAGAAGTACAACCGGAGCGAGCAGTACATCGTGTGAGTGTCCCGCCGGGCCCCCAGCGGCCAGGGGGCACCGAGGCCCCCGCCCCACCCCCCCCGCCAACTGTCTCGGGGGATGCCCGGCAGTCGCCCGGCCGTCCTCGGGCCCTGTGCGCCCTCCGCCACCCCGCTGACGCGCATCTCTGCTCCAGGGAGAACTTGCTCATGCTGGACATCTTCTTCGAGGCCCTGAACTACGAGACCATCGAGCAGAAGAAGGCCTACGAGGTGGCTGGGCTGCTGGGTGAGCGCAGGGGGCGGGGGCGCTCCAGGCAGCCCCCCGAGGGCGGCTCCGGGGCCGCTGGCCTGGGCAGGGGCAGCGGCTCTTGCAGGGCTGCTCGTCGTGCCCTCCAGGGGGCCGAGGCTCGGCGGGAGGGCCAGGAGAGCAGGCGGTGGGGGGGCCCTCCAGGCGCATCCCTGTGGGAGGGGGGCTTGTCGGCTCCAGTGGGAGGGACAGCCCAGCCGAAGCCGCTGCTGCCCCCCAGGCGACATCGGGGGCCAGATGGGGCTGTTCATCGGCGCCAGCCTCCTCACCATCCTGGAGATCTTCGACTACCTGTACGAGGTGAGTGGGAGCCGCAGGTGGCGCCTGGCGCTTCGAGACGAGCCGGAGCTGCCCTGGGGCAGGAGGGCGAGGGGGGGAGGGCAGGCCAGACGCGCCCCGCAGGGGGAAGGCACGAGCATGCTGCCCCCGAGGCCGGGCACATGGGTCCCCCCACCCACCATCAGGGAGGCTCCCAAGCTGCCAGCGCCCCCTCCGGTGGTGGCACGTGGGTCAAGGGGCGCTGGCCACCTCTAATCGGGGATGCTGGCCACACCGCGGGGGCCCCTCCCAAAGGCCCTGCCTGGGCCGAGCCCTGAAGCCGCCCGCTGCGTTCACCCCCCCCCCCCGGGTCGCCACACGCTGCTGCGGTGGGGGGCGGCTGTGCCGGGCAGGAAGGCTCGTGCTGCGGCAGGGCCTCCCCCATCCTGACACTGGCTCTGGGGCCGCTTTCCGAGGGGGTGGGGAGGCGCGCCGGGGCCCACGCCGGCCGCCCCTCGGGGTGGGCAGGGCTGGGGACAGTCGCCTCTCCCACCTCGCCCTCCTTGCCTCCGGCCAGGTGCTGCGGGACAAGCTGCTCGGCTATTACCAGTCCAGGAAGCAGGCGGACAGGTGCCACAGCGAGAGCCTGGTAAAGCGCCCCCGGCCTCACCGTGGGCTCTTCCCCTGCACGTGGGCGGGGAGGCCTCCCAGTGACCCCGGAAGCCCCCCCAGGGCCTGGAGCCTGAGGGAGAAGCCCGTTTCCACCCCGGAGCAGATCCCACGGCAGGAGAGGGGAGGGAAGAGGCGTGGGGGGAGCTGGGCGGCCGGCGGCCTTCCTGTCTCAGGTCACTGTGGAGGCGGCCGCTGCCCCACAGCCGAGGCCTTGGAGGGGTGGAAGGGCTGTCTGCGCATGGCTGCGGGGCCCTCTGGCGTGGGACCCCTGTGCTGCACCGGGACCATGAGCCTCACCGTCGTCTCTGCCCCCCCTCCCCCTCTCTGCCCCCCCCGTCCTGCTTTCCCTTTGTGTCTCCATCTTGCGCCCCATCTCCACCGCGTCCCACGGGCCCAGGAGTATGTGGACCTGTCCCGCAGCCCCGGCAGCACACTGCCCCGGCCTCCCAGGTAGCAGTGCCTCTCCGGGGGCAGGTGCGAGTTGGCCCCCGCCCCCAGCGCGTGTGCGGGCAGCCGCGTCCCCTCCAGCCTCAGCCGGGGGGGGCTCTGCCGACGGGCTCGGGGGCTGCACGGAGCCGGGCCGGCTCAAGGGTGCCTCCCACAGGCCCAGCCCGGCAGCCCTCAGCGCTGCAGCCCTTCTGCTGGGGGGGGCAGCCCCACCGTGCCACAGCCCCCCCGGCTCCCGTTGCAGCAAAGGTCCAGGGCGGATGGGCTCTGGAGACGCCGGCCGGCTGCCCACGCGCACGTCCCACCTGCCCACAGGTCTGTCCAGCCGAGCGGCCCCCAGGGATGAATCCCCCTTCCCCATCTGAGGAGACCGGCCCCTTTGAGGCTCTCTCGGAGACTCCTGAGCATGTGCAAAGCGGCATGTGCAGGTCTGGGGTTTTGGAGTCCTGCAGAGCGGAGCCCGAGGCTTTTCCGGCACCCAGCAACTTCCCAAGGGGAAGGGGAGTGCTCGGTGATCGTGCCCCCCACCCCCAATTCCTCAGCCACAGCGACCACTGTGGCCACGGAGAAGCACCAGCACGGGCCGCTCTCCTGCAGCCAGGGGGTGGGGTGGGCCGCACTGCGCGGCTTGGGGGGCCGGCAGCAATCTTGGGCAGAGGTCTTGCGAGGCGGCAGGCACCCCATCTGCTCTGGGCTGCCGCGGGGACACGAGTAGACCCCGGAAACCGGGCCACGGCACTGAACACCCGCAGCTGCCTGCCACCAGCCAGCCCTCTTCATCCAGGGGGCACCCGCAGAGTGGGGTGGGCCGTGGGGCAACAGGAGCAGCGAAGGGCAGCCCAAAGGGGTCCCCCTCAGGCCAAGCCCCCCCCAACCCAGAGGCCCAGGCTCTGCAGCACCTTTCCCCCTCCACCACTGCTCCTGGGGGGCTCTGCAGCACCCCTGCCGCTCCCCCCATGCGCTCATTGCTGCCCTGCCAGCTCGCCCCGCGGCCTGCGCTCGGGGCCTCTGCCCCCCTCACGCCGCACCCTCCCCACCCTCCCAGGGCCCCTGCCTCGCGCTGCGCGGTCGCCTGGACCACACGGGACTCGCCCCGGACACGCTACCTCGTCACGCAACTCTAGGCCGCTTCGAGGAATTCGCCTGCTGAGGGGCGGCCCCTCCCCACATCCGCCGGACCGGACCAGACTGGACCGACCCACGGTCAGCGCAGCCCCCGCAGGGACCGTGTCGCGCCTGGCGGGCTCCAGGGGCACCCACCGCTGCCCAGAAGGGCTGGAATACGGGGACGACCCGGACTGGCCCGCCAAGACCTGGGGGGTGCGCCCCCTCCCCCACGGCGGGCCTTGAAGCACCCAGGGAAAGGCTGCCATTAAAGTCCGCCCAGCTTGACGTGCTGCCCTGTGTGGTTCTTGGGGGGTGGGGGGTCCTCCTGCAGCCCCAGGTTTAGGGGAGAGCGGGGCAGCCCCCGCTTTCGGGCACATCGACCGGCCCGCCACTGTTGGCCACCAGAGGCAGGGAGGGCACGTGGGCCTGTGGCTGGCCTCCCCCCGCTGCTGCGAGCCCCTCCAGGCAAAGCACTCCCCCCTGGCACCCGGACAGGTCGTCTTCCACCTGCCCGGCAAGCGGACCCCCCCCGCGCTGCCCGCCCCCTCAGCCTCCCCAGCAGACGGCAAGAAGGGGCCTGGGCAGAGGGGAGAAGCTGCACTTTATGGACGCCACAAACATTCACATCGGGGACAAGCCCCCCCGCCCCCCCGCCCACCGCCCCCGGCATCCCAGGCACGGCCCGGTGGTCGCGCTCCCACGGAGGGCTGCGCTGGGCGGCGGGGGGCCTGCTGCATCCCACTGGTCCCAGCCCCTCTGCGGGTGGCAGAGCGGGGCACCCGGGGTGCTGAGGGCCACGTGCTCCCCCAGCCGTGCGGGGGCCTAGGGGGGGCAGAAATCTGTGAAGAAGGGGTGCTGCAGCGCCTCCTCGGCCGAGATGCGGTGCACCGGGTTGCACTTCAGCAGGTTCTGGGGAGCCAAGAGAGGGAAGGTGAGACGCTCCCTGGGAAAGGGGGTAGCCCCCCAGCCCCCCCGGGGAGCAGCTCCCACCCCCGACCTGGGGTGCTCGGAAGCGCACGGGGACACGGGGCTGAGGCCACAAAAGGGGTGCAGCCTCACCCTGGAACAAGGGGGCAGCTCTGCAGGGACACCCAGCTCAGGCTGCCGGGGGGGGGGCCGCCGGGGGACACTCACCTGCAGCAGGTCGCGGCCCGTCGTGCTCAGCTTCGGCACCACGTTGGCCAGGGAGGTCGTGGCCGGGTACATGGGGTACGGCTGCGAGGGAGCAGAGAGGGCTGGGAGTTTGGGGCAGCGGGGTGGGCAGGGAGAGTTCCCGTGGCCCCCCCCGGCCCCCCAACAGCCCCCACATGCCGGGATCACCCCGCGCAGGCGCCAGCGCTGCAGCGAGGCAACTCCTGTGCCCGGGGCCTGGACCACCCCCCGCCCCCGACCTTAGGGCAAGGCCTGACCTTGTAATCCGGCAGCTTCGTCATGCCCGGCCACTGCTCCTCCGTGGGTGTCCCCAGCAGCGTGTGCAAGTCAAGGACTGTCCTGTGGCCCCTGGCAGCCCTCCCCACCGGCTGCTCCCCCAGCCGGCCCAAGAGCACCCCCCCCCGCGGCACGTGCCACTCGCGTCCCACTGAACGGAGCGGCAGGATGAGGCTGACCGAGTGCCTTCCCTGCAGCCTGGGGGCCGTGCGGGACCACGCGGGCCCTCCTGCTGTCCCACCCCACGGGGTGCGGCCTCCATCGGCCCCAGGGACCCCCGCAGCCACTTGGGCCGCAAGCAGAGGATATCGGAAGATCCGCTTCAGCTGGTCGTCCACGTCATTGCCTGGAAAGAGGGGCCGCCCGGCGTTGGCCAGCTCTGGGGGGACAGGGAGGGGTCAGCGGCAGCTCGGAGCGGTGGCCCCCGCCACCCCCCCAGGCCTACACTCACCCGCAAAGATGCAGCCGGCGGACCACATGTCGATGGAGGTGGAGTACAGCTTGGCCCCGAAGAGCACGTCGGGGGGGCGGTACCAGAGCGTCACCACCTGCGGGCAGGAGGGCCGGGTGGGCCGGTGGGCAACAGCGGGGGAGCCGCTCCCTCGTCCCGGGGGCCTGTGCCAGCCGCACCCCCAGGAGCGGCGGCAGAGGGCAGCCCATGCGTGGGGGGAGCCGGGGGCCCGCAGGCTGAGAGAGGGGCCACCCACTGGGGCTGGGACTGCCCCCCCGTCCGCCCCCCCGTCCGCCCCCCCACCGCTAGCCTGCATGCCGTGCGCGTCCACTCACCTCCGCCGAATAGCAGCGCACGGGGATGCCGAAGGCCCGAGCCAGCCCGAAGTCCGCCAGCTTCAGCTCCCCGTTCTGCGTGCAGCAACAGGGAAGTCGTGGGAAAGGGCGGGATGCGGCCCAGTCAGTGCCCCACCTCTGCCCCTCACTTGGGAGCCCCTGCCAGGCACGCGGAGAGGAGCCCGTGGGGTGGTCCCCGGGCCTCTGCCACATTAGCCCCAAGTGGCCACCCCGAAGGACGGCCGCGCGAGTCACTTGTGGGGCCTGGCCAGGCCTCAAGCCATGCCCTCCGGGTCGGCCGGGTGGGGCTGGGCCGACCTGTCGCTGCGGGGAAAGGCATGGTCCCAGCGCAAGCGACGCACAAGGAACGGCGCACGAGGCTCGGCAAACACTGCGGCTGCGCCCCCTCGGCCAGGCGCCCCCGCCTCCCGTGCCTCACCCGCCATCAAAGGTACCCCTCTCGCTGGGGGTGGCTGTGCCGGCCCCGTCCCGGGGAGGGGCCCAGCCGCAACTCGGCGTCTGCCTGGCCATAAAGCCGGGGTCGGGAGGCAGGAAGGCTGGCGGGCCCAACCCTCTGCTGGCGCAGGACGCCCCTCAGGACACACCGCCCCACAGACGGGGGGAGCCCTGGCTCAGCCCTGGCTCCCGCACACTTGTCCAAGGCGAGGAGGGGCTTGGGCGAAGCGGGGTTGCGCTGCTCCCGGCATCCTCTGCATCCGTCAGCCATCACGCTCCACCGCCGCCTCTCACCCGGTTGATCAGCAGGTTCTGGGGCTTCAGATCCCGGTGCAGGACATTCCGGCTGTGGCAGAACCCCAAACCCTTCAGGAGCTGATACATGAAAGACTGGGGGACGGGGGGGGGGGGGGAGAGAGAGACGCTGACGGCCCGGCCAAGACTGGAGCAGGCCCAGCAGCCCCCGAGTCCGCACAGGGCGGGCGAGGGGAACGGAGGGGTTGCGCCGGGCGAGCGAGGGCCCCCCGGCCCCCGCTCCGCAGCTGCTCTGCCTTTCTTTCGAGACAGACCGCCTGCATTAGGGGAAGTCAGAAGAACGCGGGAAAGCACAGACGGGACGAGAGCGGGGGCAGTGGCAAGGTGTGACTCCTGCAGCGACCGAAGGGCCGGGCCCGAGGCAGCACCCAGGCCTCCCCTGGAGCCCGGCTCCCCTCGCCGCGGCAGCCCACCTCACCTTCACAATCTCAGGGTCCAGGTCCCCGTTGCAGCTGTCAAAGTACTTCTTCAGATCCTGCAAGGAGCAGAGGAGAGCAGGGAGGTGGCAGCTGGACCAGCGCCTTTGGACCCCCCCCCCCGTGCCTGAGCCCCCTCCCCCAGTACTGCTTATCGCCTGGAGGACGTCTCGAGACCTGGGAGCCCCGTTCCTTGCAAGCAGAGGATCCCCCAGCCTGTGCACGGGCGATGCATCCCCTCCCCCCGCAGCAAGGGGACCTACACGGGGCTGGGCCCTCGCGGAAAGGGACCGGGAACCACCCGGGGCTCAGGGGACAGATGCGGCCCATGGGCGCTTTCAGTCCAGAGAACAGGGCCCTCGCCCAAATGGCCCGCGGCAGCAGGCGGGCCAGACAGCCGGCTGGCGCTCAGCAGAGCTGTCGGGGCAGCCACTCAGGCGGGCAAAGCGCTCCAGGAAGGGAGAGGGTGCCAATCGTGGCGGCCAGGGACTCCCCCCAGACAGAAGGGCGCAGGTGCCTGGGACACATGACTGGGAGCAGCGGCGCAGGGGGGCACCTCCCCCCGTCGCCCGGCCCACGGGCTCTGCTGCAGCCTCCGCCAGGGAGCCGCCGGGTCCCCTTCCGCCCCGGCAGCTCCGGCGCCGCTCCGCCCAGCTCCTCACCTGGTCGCAGAATTCGAAGACCAGCGTGAGCTTCTTGTCGCTGTGCAGGACGTCGTGCAGCCTGTGGTGGAGAACGGCGGCTCCGGTGACGGCTGCCCGTCCCAGCCAGGGACGCCCACCGCCCGCAGGGCCGGGCCGAGCCGAGCCGAGGGAGCACCCGCGAGAGGGGCCTCAGCGGGGGGCAGGGCCCAAACGGTGAGATCTCCTTGTTTTTACTAGAGGCCCAAACCCGCCACACCGGCGGCTGCTGCAGAGGATCGAATTCCGCGCCCAGGTGGGTCTCTTGAGCTCTGGGCCTCTGCTCAATGAAGACCCTCCCCGTTTACTCTCCCAACACCCCCTTTCTTCATCCCAGTGGCATAATTATGGGGCAAGGAGAGCAATGTTGTCACTGCTGTTAAAAACCACTGCGCCCTGGGAGCCCTCGCCCAGATACGGGCAGGCCCGAAAATTCTTCCAGGAGACCCTGGTCTGCCTCGAGTCAACCCTGGGCAAACGGGCTGCCCTGGCCGCCCCTGGCCTGGGCAGCCGCCGCCAGGGAGCGTTCTGTTGTCTGAGACAGAACCGCTCCTCTCGATGGCTTCTGGGCCTCCCTGTTGCTCAAGCAGATCAGAAACAAAGCAAACAGATCACGCAGAGCCACAGAGCAGCGCATCAAATGCTGCCATCAGGAGAGGCACCGGGCGGCACCTGGGAGCCACAGTGGAGCCACCAGAATGCGCTGCACAGCTCCCGAAAGGTCACCTCTCACTGCAGCGGCCGGAGCAGCCCGGGCAGGGCACAGACCTCCCCGAAAGGCAAGTGGGCTGCACCCCCCCGGCCCCGACAACCCGGCCCTTTCCGAGCCCCTGAAGGACCCAGAGGGCACTTGCCCGCAGCCTGAACTGCACCCACGACGCGGGTCTGCGGGGCACTGGGCCTCACCGCCCTCTGCCCTGCCCTCACTCGGGCGTCTGGATCGGCGCAAGCACAGGCTGTGTCAGCCGCGGGCACGGATACTGCACTGAAATGCTGGGGGGGGGGCTTCTTCCCAGGCTCGTGCGCAAGCCCTGGCGCCCCAGAGGCGTGCCCCTGGCTCCCCACCCCGCGCTGGCAGGCTCACCGGACAATGTTCTTGTGCTTCAGCTCCTTGAGCAGGCAGATCTCGCGCAGGGCAGAGCTGGGGACTCCCTGGAAGGCGAGGGAGGAGGCGGCTGCACGCACAGGCCTGTTCCGGCCGGCACAGGGGTCGGGGCTGCTGCAGCCGCCGGGGCACTCCAGGGACCTGCGGGGCCCCGGAGAGGCCGGCTCCGGATGCTAGAGGGGGGATTCCGCCCGGGCAGAGCAAGCTGCACCGCGGGAGCCCCGTTGCCGCGGCTGCCCCGAGAGGGGCGGGGGCAGCCCAGCCTCACGGGGCCCGGTGGGCCCCCACCCACCCCGCTCGGGGGCGCACCTCGTCGTCGTCGTCCAGCCGCACCCTCTTCAGCGCCACGATCTCGTGCGTCTCCCGATTCTTGGCCTTGAAAACAGTCCCGTAGGTGCCTGCGGGCCGGGCGGGGGGGGGGGAGAGGGGGAGGAAGAGGCGGCTCGTGCACCGGGCTGCGGGAACCGGGGGCCCGGCAGGGGCAGCCATGCTGACCGGCGCCCTCGGAAGCGGCCGGGGAGCCTCGCCTCTCCCGAGCCGAGCCCCGCCGCGTCGCTGTGGGGGCGCTCGCAGCCGAGCCCGCCCTGCCGGCGCTCCCTCCGCCCCCCCGCGCCCGGCCGGAGCATCCCCGGCGCCGCCCCCGCCCCTCGCCCGCTCCCCGCGGCGGGGTCCCGTCCTCTGCCGCCGCTGCCGCCGGCGCCCCGGCCCACCCTCGCCGATCTTCTCCAGCTTCTCGTATTTCTGCATGGCTCGCGCTGCCCGCCGCCGCCGCCGCTCCGGGACCCCAGCCCGAGCCAGCCCCTCCTGGCCGGGCCGGGACTGCAACTCCCGGCATGCCGCGCCGCCTGCGCGGACCGAGGGGCGGGACCAGAGGGGGGGAGGAGGCGCACCGGCCGCAGACTACATTTCCCGGCAGCCATCTCCCCAGCGCACCAGCCCCTTCCCGGCGGCGGCTTCGAGGAACAGAAACAGAAAGAGCCCCTGGACATGTGCAGAGTGCTTCACGCGCCTCCCCTGGTGCATTGCGCAGTTCGCGTTCCCCGGTGGAGCCGGGGCGGAGCGCAGGCCCCCCTGCCTGCCCACCCTCGGACGAGGAGGAGGACGGGGCGCTTGGGTATCTGCGCCGCGCCTCGGCCCCAAAGCGCCCCGCTGCGCCTGCCGGCCTGGCCCGGAAAGCGGCCAAGCACGGCGGCCCCGGTCTTCGCGGGGAAGGCGCGCAAGGGCCGCCCCCGCGCTTCCTCCTCCCGCGCGCTCGGCCCAGTAGAAGCGCCTCCTCGCGGTGGAGCTTGCCCTCTGCACACGTTTAGAAGCCTTGTACTATTGCTGCTCTTGCCACGCGCGGTGACGCTTGCCCAATCCAGCCTCCTCCGATGCACGATTTGAAGAGTCCTCCGACGTGTCCAGAGAGCACCGGGTTGGGGTGCTGCCCCCATTCGCGAGCCGTTCCGGAACGCCCAGGACTGGAGCCAGCAAGGATTCCTTGCTGGGGCCAGTGAGGGCCCCGCTGGCGAAAGCAGCGGCTCTGCCCCGGTGACCGGCAGCAGGCAGCCCGTCTGGGAGTCCTGCATCTTGCCAGCTGGCAGGGGCAGGAAGCCGCCACCTCCGTAGCAGTTCTGCCTTCCCGCCTGAAGCGCTCTCTCAGCCCTCGGATCCCTGACACTTCAGCCGCTGCCTTGCAAACCCCCAAAAGAGCTTTGCCTGGGGGCCGTGGAGGCATGAAATGGTTAAGTGAATACAACTAAAAACTGAACTTCAGCTTGGAGACCGACCGCGTAGGCATCCCATGAGAGCGTGTGGGGCTCCGGGAATCCGTGGGGAACGGGTGAAGCCACGTGATAGGGGGTGCAGGGCCTAAAGGCACCCGCTTTGCAAGTGACACGTTCCGGCGCTGCCCGCGCCCTGCATAGCCGCTGCCTCGCCTCAGCTGACGCCTCGGGGGCGGCCCCGGAAGCACCATGGCGCCCCCTTTCGGCCCTCCCCTTGACAGCACAGGCAGTGGGCCCCACCAGGCTTCCCC